GTTTGTTTGTTTGTTTGTCTGTTTTTTTTGTTTTTTCGTGCCGTGAAATAATTTCTGACGATTCGTCCCTTAATCGTCAGAAATTACATGTTCAGCTGGAGGGCGGATAGAACATCACATCATCGAAAAAGATAGAACATCATTTAACTATGCAACAACAGTTCTATAACAATCTAATCAGACCTTTTTGTTTACGTCTTTTATAGCCCAAGATTAATTCCCACGTGAGCTTTTATTTCTTCTCTTTGTAAATATAAACATCAGGGGATAACAAATAAACCAACGAAAATGTAGTCTTTCTTTTCTCTTGGTTCGTGATTCGCTGGCTAAAACAGTGTGCAAACAAAATCCGTGTCAATTCAATCTCGTTCTCAGAGCCCATGTGCCTTTTGGTCAGCGCCAAGACACGGAGCTCTGGAAAAATCAATTTCCAGACTCCAAGAATTTAGGAGTTCCAGTTTCACGGCTCATGCGTGCCTTGGTTTAAAACATGGCAATCTCGTTCCCAGAGCCCACGTGCCTTTTGGTCAGCGCCAACCATAAGACACGTGGGCTCTGGGAACGAGATTGGTGTCAATTGTTTGGCGTATTTTTTAGCGATTGGTTGAGTTTCTTATCCACATTCATAACAAATTGTAGAATCTTCGTCAATCCATGCTGCCGTTGATGTGTGAAGACTTGTCCTTTTAAAGGCGAGTTGGAACTCTGGAAGCAAGAAGATGCTAGAAGAAGAAGAGCTGGGAACTGGGTAAAGTCTTTAGCTTTTGTAGTTTACGCCTCCTTTGTCAGTCTTTTACTGCAAATTTTCCCATTAATTCTTTCATAACTTGGCTTTTCTTCTTTTCTCGGCAATTGTAATTTTTATAATTAATTGGTTACTGGACTTCGTGCCGTCCAGTTTGGTGTGTAATCATACTCGTGATAAACGAATCAGACTCCCGCTGCGCGGTCGTCCGATTTTGTTATCACTTGTATGATCACAGACCGAATTGGACTCCACTCAGTCCTATTACCATTACTTATCGTTACGAAGAAAAAAAAAGAAAGGATTCTATCCACCCCCTCCTCTCTGACCATGTACAAAAGTAAGAGTTTGCTTCTCCATCCTTTAAGGAAACTTTTAATGCTTATCTCACAATGGTAGGGCTTATTTGCGTTCCTATCGTTACTCTTAGTGCTTTACCACCCGATATTCTTGGCACCTAAAACCTCTTAGACGCAAACGCCATTTAAATACATTAAATTTCTTCACAAGGAACCAAAATAATCGCAGAAATGAGGGTTTGGATCAGAATTGTTACGGTTTCTCGACTCTTCAAGCGGCAAAAATTTAAACCCTGAAAAGAAAGATAATCACAGAATCAGTTTCTATAGCGGAGACTTTTTCACGGGAGTCATGGTCAAACCTATCACCCATGATCCCTTGCAAGCATAAAGTTGTCTGTTTGCGGGCCACAACCGAAAACTATTTTAGGTCCTCAGAAATAGCACTTCCTTGATTTTGAAGACAAATTTCCAATTATCTCAAACGTAGCTAGGATTTCCAAGAGGAGATTGCAAATTTCGCTTCCTAAAGAAACGCTAACAAAATTAAAAATGGATAAGAATGAAGTCTCGTGATTTATCATTTACTCAGCTAAGATATATATCCTCAAAAAAAAGGCGCCTTGAATGCTTTCGTGCAAAAAAGTCGATTGTTTTACTAACTTCTATTTGCCTGTCGTAATGAATGTGCACAATGTGCCAAACGATCGTTCCAGGCAGTTTCAGGTAGTTTCCCGAATTTAATCGCAAACAGCCGCGCATTTGTCACAGCTTCTAGTGCTCTTACTGGGAAAAGCGCAAGGAAAACTTCATGTCCTTTTACCTTACAACCCAACATGTTCGACACAAGTTGAGCACATTTGTTTAGGTGGCCTCGGGTATTTCTTTCTCAATTACGGCTAGCAAAAGCTAGCTACGCTTCGGCGAATACTTTAAAAAAATTATAAACTTTATTGAATATTCGAAAAGCATTTATCTTAAAAGGTGTTAATCACAGGAATGAACGATTGGGAGGTTTAGACAGTGAGCCCAGCAGTGTGTGTACACAGCCTTTGGACTTTTTTCCCGTATCAGTGCTTGTGCGCCTCGCCTAGTAGGACGTTAGACGCGCCATTGTACCCTCGCCCCCAACAGTTTTTTTATGTCTAAGTCTTCACCCAAAGGGAGGGTTCCGGAACCCTCCCCTGGCTACGCCCCTGATAAAAAATAGCTTGTATAATTTTACCCTCGCCCCCTCAATCGGCCTCCCTTCGTCGGGGGAGGAGGCAGGGGTTACAAAACGGACCCTGCCATAGGGAAACTCAAATCTGGACCCAGTTTAAACCGGTTTAATCCAGTTTAAGTACAAGTCTTCACATTTTGCAGGCAGAGGATGATAACATAAAGCTATTGGAAGCGGACAATAAATCGGCAGTAAGTTTGAAATTACCTAATGTAAGTTACTGGATAGCCTTTGGGAGAAGAGCGAACACGAAAATGCGTGGAAACAATAAACTCTCCGTCCCTGCGAGTAGTATCTAATCTTTGTGGACCATGTGTTTGATTCGGCACTTAGTCGGTGAAATCGATCCTATCTGTTTGAGGCGTTTCCCGACAGATACAAATTTAAAATAACAGAAAAAGTTGAAAAGAAAGTTTTATACGCCTAGCTTTCTTCAAAAAGCTTAATGGGTTTCTTATTTGACACAATTGTACAAAATTAGCTTTAACCTTATTGCATTCTTACAGCAATAACAAAAAGAAGACTCAAACCATTTTCATATGAAAGGTTTTGCACGAGAACTCGTCTGAGGGGTACAAGGTAACTCGGAAATGACCTATTAACTGACTACATACCGTGACCCAACCGCTTGAACCGCAACTTGCTTGGGTGATCCACACTGCGTGACACTTTTGGTAAATTTCATGGCACGTGAGTCACGCAAGGCTAGTCATAATCGCGGTTGAAAACAAGGTCAAGCAAGCATATTCGTAACTAACAAGAAGCGCCTTTATTCAATTAAAAAAAAATAATCCGCTTCATTTAACAGATTACAAGATTGTATTTTAGTTAAATTATTTACCCTGCGCTATAAACCTTGCTTTCTCTTTAGATCCAAACCCTTCTTTGAAAGAATGGCTGTTATTAACCCAAAAAGGGAAAGAAATTCGTGAACTCAAAATGGCATTATAGCAAGCAAGGCCAAGCCCTTCAGCTGTCCTCTATCTTATATTTCTTCTGACAAGACAAGATAGTTAAACTTGTATACTAATCGAGTATCGATGGAAGAAGCAAAGCATAACCTTAATGGTTAATCAATAAAATATATTATATAATAGTATATATTTGCAGTTCGCAAAAACAGTCCACAAAGCTTTTGCTTGTATGTCTTCCTTAATCCTCAAATCTCTTGCACCTATCAGCAACCAATTTCTCCCAACACGACAGGCCAAACTCAAGAATAGAGCTGTGAGAATTGAGAACTGATCTTAAAAGGGTGATTCGTGGGGAGATATCCTATCTATTAAAATTGACAAGAGACAAACATGTAACTTGCCAGGCATAAGTGAAGAATTATGTCACAGTGACTTGGATGTTTCATTCATGGCAAAAAATGTTCTAACCCTATCAACAAGAGGATCTCCTATCAATAATCTAAGCCTCAACAAGTGATAAAGACAACCTGTAGCCTAACAATGCTATGTAAAAAACTTCTAAATTTTATCCTATCTTTACCAATGGCATGTCGTGGTCTCATGAAATTTTGAAGCATCTTCAGTTTGTTGAATGCTTAACTCTTTAACAAGCAATGAATATAAAAGTATAACTCTGAACTGTGCAGTTCCAGAAAATATCCAGATATACTCCCCCCACCCCCCTCTCACAGAAGAGATTGGAATTTCCTGGGGGATGGGGGGATCGGCAAGACCAAAAAATGTGAAAAAATGTATGACGCTTAATTTGAATTTCCAGGGGGTTGGGAGTGTGGGATATTTTCTGGAACTACACATTTTGAGCCCCAAAGGTGTGGATCATGGGAGCTAGTAAAGAGGAACCTTCTTATTTAAGCCTTAGAAAGTAACAACCATACAAGCTCCCTGCACAACAAACTGTGGTCTGGGTATAATACAAACTGTCACATTCTCTCAACAATCTGTGAGGAATGTGAAGAGACAAGTGAGGAGAACTTGCATGCTGACATCAGGATGTCAAGGGTTTCACAAATATGGAATAAACATTGAGCAAGATATTTATTGCTTAGATTTTTATCTTTTTAAAAAGAAAATACAGTTCAACCCCTATTAAATGGCCACCCTCAGGAAAATGGATAGTGGCTGCTCAAAGGGGGCTGCCCTTCAATAGAGGTAAAAACAATAGAAAAACCCTCATTGGGAGTCTGATCACTGACTGCCTAATAAAAGGGGTGGCCGTTTAATAGGTGGCTGCTAATAGGGGTTCAACTGTAACACCTAGATCTTGCTGGAATATTGAAAAACAAACAAACAAACAAAAAACACACTATCAACATAGTAAAAGCATTTTAAAAGTTATATCAATATGTTCTGGCATACAGTAAGGTGAAGATAAAATTTGACACGCAAAATCCTGTAAGGAAATCACGCCTTAGTTCATCATTTTGCATATGTTCCCATGAAAAACTGGTAATGAACATTTCAACGAAGTATGGGATTCTTTTGCAAAAATTACTCTTCCTTTGATTATTCATCTGAAAAAGAGAAATCATGTTTACTATTAGTATACAACAAAGTCATTCTTCTTTTGAACATTCCTCCTGTAAGCAGTGATCACTTTCCAAGTTCCTTTTAGTTATGGCTTTGTTGCAAAATTAAATACAGTATATCAAACATGAGAGACAGTGTTTCATCAGGATGTCCAAACACCGAGAAGAGAATTGAAAACACGAAGTGCAGTGTAGTATTTTTGATGAAATTCGTGGTGTTTGTATAGCTGATGAAACACTGTCTCAAGTGTTTGATATATCTTCTCAATCAAAACAAAAACTAGGGAGTAAATGGAGAAGTAAAATCATCAAAATCTACGCTAATTAAGACCGGGTATCCAAACCTCCTTCATGGTTGATTTTCTTTGTTTTAAGTTAATGAATTATTTCAATAATTAAAGTAAGTTTGAGAACTGGGCTTACCCCTCCTCTGTTGCCATGGGTACTTCAACAGGCTCCTCTGGATAAATAAATAAATATTAGTATAGATAAATACAATGTAAATAATTAATAGGTAAATAAATGAATAGATGAATTAACAGAAAGGAAGAGAGGAAACAATTAGACGAGGGAGTGAAGGAAGAAAGAGAGAGAAAAGGAGGGATAAGGGTAGGTAAATAGCAGGAGAAGGAGAGGAAAGAGGGACGGAAGTAAGGTAGGCAAGGAGGGAGGGACATGGGGAAGGAGGGAGGTAGGGAGGTAGAGAGGAAGGAAGG